TGCTAAATGAAATAAACCAGACACAGAAAGATAAATGCTGTATGATTCACTTACATGAGGAACCCAGAGTAGTCAAATATGATAGAGACAGAAAGTAGCCAGGTGTGGTGGCTCACACCTTAAATCCCAGCACTTTGGGAGGTTGACGCAGGCAGACTGCTTGAGGTCAGGAGTTTGAGACCAGTCTGGCCAACATGGTGAAACACCGTCTCTACTAAAAATACAAAAAAATTAGCTGGGTGTGGTGGCGTGCACCTGTAATCCCAGCTACTTGGGAGGCTGAGGCAGGGGAATTGCTTGAACGAGGGAGGTGGAGGTTGCAGTGAGCAGAGATTGTGCCACTGCACTCCAGCCTGGGTGACAGAGAGAGACCCCAACTCGAAAACAAAAAGAAAGTAGAAGGGTGGTTGCCAGGGGCCGGTGGGGGGGAACGAGGAAAGAATTTCTGTTTGGGATGATGAGAAAGTTCTGAAGACGACTGCGGTGATGGTTACACAACATCATGGATATACTTAAAGCCCCTGAACTGTATGCTTACACATGGCTGAAATAGCAAACTTCATATTACATATGTTTAGCCACAATTAAAAAGCATTAGGCTGGGCACGGTGCTTCACATCTGTAATCTTAACACTTTGGGAGGCCAAGGGGGAGGATTACTTGAGCCAGAGGTTTGAGACTCATCTAGGTAACATAACCTTGTCTCTACAAAAAATTTAAAAATTAGCTCGGCATGGGGGTGTATACCTGTAGTTCCAGGTCTCAGGAGGCCAAGGTAGGCAGGCTGTTTGAGGCCAGGAGGTTGAGGCTGCAGTGAGCTGTGACTGTAGCACTACAATCCAGCCTGGGTGATAAAGAGAGACCCTGTGTCAAACAAACAAACAAACAAACAAAAAATTGTTCAAAAATATTAGAGACCTGAAAAATTCTATCAAGAGAAGGGCACAATGGACTATGCTGTTTGCTTTCCTCAGTACACAGACTATAGGAGTGGAAACTGGGAAGACTGGTTTGGATCTGCAGGACACACTCTTCCATGAGAAGCTGGAAGACAGATATGTATGAGTGAACCATCATGTCTCATATGCTGCCTTTCTCCTATGAATATATGCCCTGAATACTAAACACAGTCATAATTTTTGCTCTCACCACCAGACTACACATTGGCAGACTATGGCCCTGGTGGTGTGGCTGGTTCCCTCTCCAGGGTCTCACCTGGCTGGAGGAGCAGGAGGCGGGTGGGAGTCAGAGGAGGGCAGACCCCAGTCTCCTGCACATACATCACTTAGGAGACATCTACACTGGGTAGGGCTCTGGTTTCTTTGAATAAAGTCCTCATGCAAAACTTCAAGTAAGGCCATTAAAAGTGAAAACACACCAGAACGGACCAGGCACAGTGGCTCGCACCTATAATTCCAGCACTTTGTGGGGGGCTGAGGCGTGAGGATCACTTGAGGTCAGTAGTTCGAGACCAGCCCGGCCAACATGATGAAACCCTGATGCTACTAAAAATAAATAAATAAATACAAAAAGTTAACCGGGGGTGGTGGCACACACCTGTAATCCCAGGTACTCTGGAGGCTGAGACAGAAGAATCACTTGAACCTGGGAGGTGGAGGTCGTAGTGAGCCGAGATAGCAGCACTGCACTCCAGCCTGGATAACAGGGCAAGACCTCGTCTCCAACAACAACAACAACAACCCACGAACAAACAAACACCAGATCAAAATCTGGGCAATTTAAAATAGCAAAAGAAGCCTTTAAATTAAAAAATATATATTTTACTTGTTTAGAGACAGGGCCCCCAGGCTGGAGAGCAGTGGTGTGATCATGGCTCACTGTAGCCTTGAACTCCTGGGCTGAAGTGATCCTCCTGCCTCAGTCTCCCAAGCAGCTGGGATTATCTCTCAAAATGAGTTTTTACATGCTGCAACCAGCCAAGGTTACAAATCCTGGGCTATGGGAAATTAGTATCTAACAAGATTACTCTGTGAAAATATTTCTGTGAAAAATGAGTGATGCATTAGTGCAACACTTTGTAGTAACTATGAAGGCTAACAGACCTAATGATTTTCTTTCCTGCTTGGGGTTTTTCTAGGTTCCCCCTGCTTCGGGTAAGGGGGCTCTTTCAGGGCTTGATGGCTTTGCTGTTGTCCTGTGCTTTTGCCCAGTGTCCCCACACAACGTTACACTTCGTGGCTGCATTTAGACTTTACTGTAAATGTGTGTTTCACTGTTCACACACTGCCCCCCATGTTATCTTCCCCACAGAGTGGGAGGAACCCAGTATTCCCAGCCCCTTGAAACAGTGCCTTGCACAGAACAGGCCCCACACAGATGAAGCTGTGTATTAGCAAAGAAAGATATTCTTCCTGTTGTTAGTTATTAATATAAGAAATGGGTTGCGGGCCTGCTTGAATGAGTTTCATTTTTACACAATGTATCAATATAACTGTTTATAGTTTCTTTCACTTGTATCTTAACAAGTTCCGAAAGAGTATTATCTGTGTAGTCAAAAAAGAAAAGTGAACACAAGAAGGAGATGGCTAACCATAAACTAGGTACTTGATGACAATCTATAATAGCATCAGTTTGGAAACAAGTATCCTCCCTTTCCTTGAAACAAAGTCCTTGTCTCTGGAACACAAAACTGGGAAATGTATCAACTTTGGGGAACCGGAGAAACAGTGTATTTATCCTAATCGATTTCTTCCTCTCACGTTCAGGCGCCCAGCGTCTGCAGAGCCTCTCTAGGTGCCTCCGTTAAACCAGCTTTTGGGAAAATCTGTTAAGCCCATTCAGCTAAGCGGCGCCTGGTCACAGGGCTCTGCGCAGCCTTCCTCCTCGGCGACGCTGGGCAGGGAACCCCAGGACGGGGCTCCACCGTGGACTCTCCGGGGCAGGCGCCCCGGGCCACCCTACAAAGCCTCGCCCTCCAGGCGGTAGTCCAGAGCCTCCGGCCTGCTCGGGGTCCGCGCTGCCTCCAGCGGACGGTACTGAGAAACCATGCGCTGGCGGGTCGGTGCAACGCGACCCTCAGGGCACCCCGGCGTGTGACCAAGCATAGAGCGTTTCTGTTTTGGTCCTCTCGTCTGCCCTGCTTCACCTGCGGGGTGCCCCGGCCCGCCCATTCCGAAGGGACTCGCCCAGTGACCGGAATCCACCGCGATTCCAGGCCGTGCCGGGACGGCGGCCAACGTCCCAAAGGTGATCCGGACCCCGCGCCAAGCCCGCCCCAGCCTCGATGGGACCCGCAAGGGGCTGCGGGGACTCGGCGGCGACGGCATCGTGGGAGGAGACGGGAGGGTTCCGACGCCCGCCCCAAGTCAGGTCCTCGGCCCCAAACCCCCGCCTGGCTCCTAAGGACCTGGGTCGGCCGCCCTAGTCCCAAGGCCACTTACCTCCGCCTGGCCGCTGAGCCGCCGCGCGTTGCCGGGACAACGGCGCGCCAGGAACGCGGAAACAGCCGAAGAGGAGCGAGGCGGCGCCGACGACGCCCGAACCGCCCCAAGCGGCCGGAAAGAGCCGAAGGCGATCGGGCACGCACTTGCGACTCTGACATCCGAGCGCCGGGGCCCGCGTTATTCTGCTCTACGGGAGGGAAGCGGGACGAGCTTTTTCTAGGAGAGGCAGCGGCGCGGGGCCGGCGACGGGTCGCCTTTGTATCGAGGGCGCGCTGTCACAGCCCCGATCCCGCGGGAGGCACTCCAGGTGGAGGAGGACCGCGGCATCCTTCTCTCCGGGGCGCGTTCCCCTCCCGCGCACCCCGAGGCGGGGCCTTTGCACCGCGGGGCGGTCTCAGCCCGGGCCTTCGCTGGCTCCGCGGCTCTGGTCTAGGCGTGGACGGCGTGGCTCGGGCGTTTCTGGAAAACGCGATGCGCTCGGCAGTGCCCTGAGCTGTTGGGTAACGGGGGGCGTCTGTCCACCTCCGGGGCCCGGACGCCAGAGAACGGAGGGAGGCAGGGAGCGCCCCCCGCCCCCAGACAGCAGCTGGCGGCCGGGCGCGGGGTTCGCGCCTGTGGTTCCAGCGCTTGGGAGGCCGGGGCGGGCGGATCGCTGGAGCCCCGGAGTTCGACACCAGCCTGGGCAACGTGGCGAGATCCTGTCTCTACAAAAACTAGCCGGGCGCGGTGGCGCCTGTAGTCTCGGCTACAGGAGGCTGAGGGAGGAGGATCGCCTGAGCCCCGGGAGGCGGACACTGCAGCGAGCCGGGCTCGCGCCAGTGCACTCCAGCCTGGGCGGCAGAGAAAAGGAAAGAGAGAGAGAAAGGCTATAACTGGAGCCAGGGGCGGTGGTTCACGCTTGTCCTCCCAGCAATTTGGGAGGATAAGGCGGGCGGATCACTTGAGGTCAGGAGTTCGAGACTGGCTTGGCCAACATGGTGAAAACCCGTCTGTACTACCAAAAAAATTAGCGGGCGTGGTGGCGCGCGCCTGTAATCCCAGCGACCCGGGAGGCTGAGGCGGGAGAACGGCTGGAACGCGGCAGGCGGAGACTGCAGGGAGCCCAGACCGCGCCGCTCAGCCACGCTAACGTAGCGCAGAAGCACACACCCCACCCAGGAAAGGGTGCGCGTATCTGCCTCACGCGCCCCCCAACTTCTCCTCAGAACTCAGGTTCGCGCCCGAATCCCGACTCTGAGCTACCGCGGCGTTTTCTTCTCACGTATCCGTCAACACGGCCGCGGCCAATCACAGCCTGGGTGCTGGCCTATTGGCTGTCTGTCCACCAATCCAAAGAGACGCATGGTCCGCAATGTCGCGGGGCTGGCGTCACAACACTACTCGCGCCGCGGGCTCGCCTCCGACGCTTTCCCCGGGCCTGTGCGTGCGAGCGCGCTCGCCTGACGCTAGCCAATGGGAGCGCCGTTTTGGGGAGTCGCGCCCGAAGAAACCTTGGGCGTGCTCGCCTCCGCGCTCGTCGCCCCGCCCCGCGCGCCCGCGCGCCCCGGCCCCGCCCCCGCGCGCCGTCCGTGCGGTCCCCACCGGCCGCCGTAGCCGGAACTGCTGCTGAGCGCGGCGGGCCGGCTTTTCGAGGCTGAGCGGCGGCAGCGTCTGTGCCCGCAGCCCCCTCAGCCGCGCGCCGGCCCGCGGAGGGGACGTAACGGGTCAAGCGCCGGTCGGCCAGCTGCTTCCGAGGCGGACGAGCGGCCCGGCGTCGCGGCCTCACTGCAGCCGGCGCTCGGGTGCCGGGGCAGCCCGGCCCGGCTGGTTCTGCGGGCGCCCGGGGAGGCCCCGGGAAGCCAGGCTGCCGCCCGGCGTTGATGAAAAAGGTGACTGAGGCTGGGCGCTGGGGCTGTCATGGCGAGGCCCGCACCGGGGGTGCTGTCGGGCGGCGCGGGAGAGCGCGGCGGGGCGGCGCTGCCACCGCGCCCTGTGCAGCCCGAACTGGCTTCAGGGCGAGGAGGCTTCTCCCCCATCCCGAGAGGCTAGCCGGTGCGGAGCGGGCAGGGCCGGAGGAGACTGCGCCTCCGAGAACGGTCAAGTCCCGTTGGTGGTTCTCGCGAAAAGGGGGCCATCCCCGTGCTTGCTGGCCCTCAGGGAAGGGGTCCTTTCAGCGGCGAAAAGGGCGTCCCCGCGCTCGGACGGCGTCTTCGGTGCGGTGGCCAAACTCCCGGGCGGCCTGCGGGCGGACAGGCCCCTGGGCAGCGGGGTTCTCTGCTTTCTGGCCCGAGAGAAAGCTTGGGGGTTCGGGTGCGCAGAAAGCGGCGCATTGAGAGTGAAGAGGGAGACGTCCCCTGCCACGAAATCCCTGAAGTTGGGGGGTTGGTCGCGTGTGGTTTTTGTTCTTTGGCAGAGTTTTTAAAGTGATTCCCAAGATCAACTCCAACAGGAGAAAACGGCCACGGACCTTTGTGTGTGGTCTCACCTCGGGGTGGGGGCACTATTGCGGCTTGTGACCCGTGTTCCGATCTCTGAGAAGGAGACGTCCTCGTCCGCGTCCGCGTCCCACTGTGGGTGCCTCGGTCGAGTGTTCCCTTGCAGTAGAAACGTTCCCGTCCTCGACAGCTATGTGCCACGCAGGCTCGGTGTCTGCGGAGGAATGGAGCGTTTTCGGCTTCCTCGCACGTGCCGGTCCCTGTTTCTGGGCTGAAGCTGTCGGTGTGTACCTGATTCCCTGAGCTTATTTTTGAGTGCTCTGCTTTCTGGGCTGCAGCAATTTTAGTCACTGCATTTTGTGGTTGACGTTTTTACAGGGCAGGGGGTAGCAAAGTTAATGCAAGAATTTCGTTAGTCGTTGCCAGGAGTTTTAACACCATCGTCTTGTACTGCTTCTTGCCCTTGGACCTGGACATACCCGGGCTGTCACTTTCCCGGGTGCTTCCAACCTGCCCCATGCAACAGGCTCCTTTGTTGCAAAAGCACTTTTAACTGGTAAATCCCCGCAGCAGCTCTCATCTCCCACCCTGGGAAGAAGATTCTCAGAGATCCAGAGCTGATTATTCTTTATGTCTGTTTTAAAATAAGCAGGCGTCCGGCGGCATTGGGCCACCATGGAGGTCCCCGTGCGGGCAGGGGAGCCCGCGCTTCTCCGGTCCCGGGGTGGATCTGGCCTCCTCCGCCCTCCTCCAGGGCCAACTCTGGGGGCTGGCGCGCCGGGCAGGTGCGCGGGACTCGGGAGCCCCGCGCGTTTCGGGGGGCGGGGAGGGGGTGGGACGAGGGGCGAGGGCTGGGGCTGCGGCCCGGCCGGCCGAGGCGGCGCAGGGAGCGAGGCCGGCACGCTGGGCCAGGCCATGAGCCGCGGCCCCGCCGGGTAGGTGGCAGCGGGCGGGGCGGCGGCCGCGAACCGCAGCCGTGCCCCGACCCGCGCCCGCGCCGGGCCTCCCATCGCCCCCGGGCCCGGGGCCCGGGCCCGGGCCGAGGCCGGGCAGGGCAGGGTAGGGTAGGGTCCGCCGAGCTGTCGCGTCCTCCCTCCGCCGGCTCGGGCGTCTGGACGCGGGTCTCGGCCAGGGGGCGTCCGGGGAGGCCCGGCAGGGTCCTGGGCCGGCGGGCAGGGCCGGGGGCGGCGGCGCGGGGGCGAAAGGGGCCGCGGCGGGCTCGGGCGGGCTCGGGCGGGCCGGGCCGAGCCGCCGAGAGGGGATTTGGAACAAACAACGGCGGCCATGTTGAGAGCGCGTCGGGGCCGCTAAACTTCCCGGCCTGCGCCCGCCTCACCGGCTGCCTCCCCTCTCCCGGCCGCAGGATGACAGTGAAGTTGGGCGACGGCGGCAGCGGGGAGGACGGGCTCAAGAAGCTGGGTAAGCGGGCGGCCGATGAGGAGTCCCTGGAAGGTGAAGGGGCTGGCGGCGCAGACGCGGCCGAGGAGAGCAGCGGCACAAAGAGGGACGAAAAGACCCCCCGGGCCGGCGCCGACGGCACCCCCGCGCCCCCCAACGCGCCGCAGGCGCCGTCTCCGCCGCAAGGCAGCCCCCAGGACCAGCACCACTTCCTCCGGTCCAGCGTGCGGCCGCAGAGCAAGAGGCCCAGGAAGGACCCTCCGAACGCCGTGGGGAGCGGCAACGCTGGTGGTCCGGGGCCCCGCGGAAAAGGTAGGGCGACCCGTCCTCCTGGGAGACCCCAGCCCCTCTTCAGGGTGTGTCCCGGGGGAGAGGAACCCCTTGTCCCAGCCGGGCTCCACCCCAGCTCACCCATCCCGCGGCCTGCACTGAGGCCCTCACTTGGGGTGGCACTTAGCTAGGATGTGTCCCCTCTCTCCTTCGAAGAGGCTGCCACTTTTCTATATTTAAACTCTTTGAAGAGGCAGCCAGTATCCTTTCTCTGGGAGAGTCAAAGAGATCCCCTAAAGCTGTTTTCTTCCCCAAAGGGTCATTGATGGTTTTCTGTTATAAACAGCGGACAATGGTTGAGAAAGGGGAATAGAAGAAAATACCTGCTTGTATCTCTTTTGCAGACATCAGGTGGTGGAAATGCAACAAAGGCACAGCCTTTTGAAACTCATTGGGGGACGATGGATGAGAAACGGAGAAGGGTTCCTTAGGGTCTGACTTGGACTCATTGTCCTCTCCTTCAAGTGCACCTGGCTTGAGTGTAGGAAGGGCATAGAAGTGGGGCCCTTTGAGTTGCAACTGAGGTTTACTTCTGTGCCAAAGAAAGGAAAGAGTGGCGAAAGCGATTGTGTCCTGATGTGAACAAGCAATAGCTTGGAGTGTTTGGCATTGTATTCCGAGGGGCTGGAGAATGTTGTTACTTAGCTGGGGTCTCCAAGATCATAAGAAAACTACGGGTTAGTTTTGTTTTCCATGTGCCAGTACTTCATTGTTGTATGCTTTTATTTGTATTTCAGCCTTGTGCTTTTCCTAAAACAGGTGAATGGCTCTTAGATTCTTTTTGTTTCTGACTACCTTTGCAACACTTTGTATAAATAGCAAATATAACATCAATTTCCAGTGAGTTTCGCATGAAAAAAAAATCTTTCACTACCTTCCTTGGGAAATGTTCATTTAAATTTAGTAAATGGTCCTGGTAGTTTTAAAAAGGGAATATATTACGAACCAATGGAGAATCTATTTTGGAGATCTGTGCCAAATGTGTCCCATTCAGCTTGCTTCTCCTGCTGCATTCTCAACCAAAGAAGGCTGGCCTCTGGAATCATGGCTTTAGTCACTGATAAAGAATTTTGTTAAAGATGTAAATTTAAGATAGCTTGTTTCAGAATTTAAAACTTGCCTCATATAAACTTACTTTAGTGTGAAAATTGCCAGTCTTGGGAAAACATTACTGGCATTGTTACTAGTTTTTTTTATTGTAGGTTATAGGTATGTCTAAGCTCATGTAAGCTCCGTGGTGCCTTCGAAGGTTTGTTGTTTATGGTTCAGAGGCCTGGACCTCAAGTCCAGCCGGCATTCGCCACCCCCATGCCCCTGGCCTCCAACCATCCTCTGCCCCTTCACCTTCTTGGAGATGCTTTTCTGTCGGGTGTCCTCATCTGTGAGACAAGAAACGAGGGCAGCTGCTTCGCCGCCTTGAAGTGTGGCTGGTGTGAAAGTGTTGAGATGTGTATGTGGCTACTTGTGTACAAGTGAAATGCCGCTAAGGCGTTGGTGATCAGGTAGATTTTTGGCAGTCAGGTGATGAGGGAGGCTTGCTTTTGTTTGTATAGTTGAGAGTGGCTTGTTAAGGTGCAGAAGGTTTACTGAGCTCCTCTAATGCTCAGCCGGCTGGCACTTGTGTTCCTGCTTCTTGTCCCACTGTGTGGCTTGGAGAAGCCTGGGACTTTTTATTATATTTTAATATTAGTAAAATGCAAATTTATTAGAATTTGTGCTCCTCATGACATATTCATTATCTCACTTTAGCAAGCAAATATATCTTTAATGAAATAAGCTGTAATAGCGGCTTTTAGGAGAGGAGTAGGAAGTGGGTCTCCTCTGCATCACAGAGCTTCTCGGCCGCTGTCTGCCTCGGAGCTTCCTGGGAAGGAAGGCGGCCTGTCCACTTCTCAGCCAGCGTCTGCCTCAGAGCTTCCCAGGAAGGAAGGCTGCCTGTCCCCTTCTCAGCCACTGTCTGCCTCGGAGCTTCCCGAGAAGGGAGGCCGCCTGTCCACTGCTGTCTGCCTTCATGCTCCTCTGTGCCTTTGGAGGCATTTCACCGTGCCTAGGACATCCCCCACCACCAGTCTTTGGAGAGACCTCTGCTCAGTCATCACTTCCATTACCCGTCAGAAAAGAAGACCAGGTGGTGATAGTTGCCCTGTAACACTCTTTAGCTCACCTTCCAGAATGATGCTTAGAGGAGATTTCTCTTACAATCTGGAGAAATCTGCACCTGGAGTGGTGAGCACCTGTCAGTGAGGAAATGATCAATTCTTCATTTTTCAATTTTTCAGTTGAAAGTGGTGTAACTTCGGTTATGCATAAGGAATACATAGCTCAATCACTGGCAGTTCCTTTGCTTGACTACTTAATGCCCTTACCAATTTCAGTCTCAATGGGCCTGAGACCCTTATAGTGAATTGGGAAGAAAGGACTTGGAGAGAAGAGGAAAGTCTCCTTGTTTGGCTTTTCTGCACACAACTGTGTTTTCTTTCTCTGCAAGAAGAGACTCTTTTATTGACTTCAATGAAAAATACTTTTTTTCTAGTACAATTTCAAATTTAAATATTTTTGTATTGACAAAGGGATAGTAGCTGAGATTTCATGCCTGTGTGCCAGGCGTCTCGCATCTCTGTAATTTTGCATTTAAATGAGTGCAGAAGCTGAAGTCCATCGTTTAACTCATGTGCTCAACCTAAACACAAGGTAGGCTGCAGACCAGAAATCCCAAAACACATTCCTGCAGCTGTACCACACCACCGAAGTGATTCTGGGACACATTGGAGATGTGGGCTCAGAGCCACAGAAACTGTAAGACAGCGGTCAGGAGACACAGGCCTCACATTCCTCCCTGTTTGTTTGGCCAGTTAACGGTGTGGCTGGCTCTGGGCAAGCTACTCCATCTTTGGGATAAAAGAAACACCTGCCTCAAGCAACAAGGTGCTTAATGGGCACCTGGTACTTTTGCTATGGAAAATGTGTGCAGCTGCAAGATGACAGGACTGCAGGAGGAGGCTGCACAGGCGGGTGGGGTGGGGGCGCACCTGTGGGGTGAGTACAAGCCCCAGGAATGCTCTTGAGCTGATGTTCTGCTGGGGCAGATGGAATGCGAGAACTTTGGCGGTGGCGACAGAGACCTTCTGCTTATTTGATCCCCTCACTCATCCCAAAGAACTTCAGTTCCATCAAGGATGGGAAAACACACCATCTCCAAAACCAGGTAGTATAGTCTGAAGTGACAGTTGTTTGTGTGTAGGAAGCAGTAAATGACTGTGCAGAATTTACTCTTCTTTGTATTTTGTATAATCTGTGGCCTGCCTGTAGTTTCTAGATGTTTCAAAAAGATGTTTTATTAAAGTTTGTACCTATAGTTCCAGCCACTCAGGAGGCTGAGGTGGGAGGATCACTGGAACCTGGGAGTTGGAGGCTGCGGTGAGCTGTAGATGCTGTGCTCCAGCCTGGGTGATGCAGCAAGATGCTGTTTCAAAAACAAAACTAAAAATAAAGTAGGGAAGGCAACATTTGAACCTTGGTTTGAAGGCTGAGCTGATTTGCAAATACCTGTATACTTTTGATATTAAAACTCGTTTCTGTTGGGAAGTTGTCTAATGAAGTATACGTTCAGAGTTTCATTTTTGTGTTTTATTGTAGGTTATATGAGGATATCAGGATAGCAGAGAGATTATTCTGGATAGCAAAGTCAGAAATGTGAAAATCAGTGTTGTCGTATAAAGTGGTATATGGAAGCTTTTTGTCACGTGAAGTAACAACAGCATTTTTAACACTGAAGAACCACATTAGAAACACCAGAAAAAGGAGACATTTCCCAGGAGTTTGTAGTTTAGTTGGGAGATCTTGAATTGCCTGCAGGACGCAATTAGAAAATCTTACGGTATTTGATGAAGAGGGCATATACTTTTACAGAAACAGTGGCGTTCTAGTTGTGTTTCTCTCAAATATTTGTGGGAGGAAAGGGAGAAACTCTGAGAGAGACAGCACTGGTCAGAAGATGCAGGAGGACACTGAGCCTTGCAGGTACTGAGGATGGGAGTCACAGCAGAGAAGGGGGCAGTATGCGTGACTCCAGGGGGTGTCCTGGAGACCACCAGGTTTCAAGTCAGCTTCAGAACCTGCAAGAGAACATTGCGGAGTCTGGCGACCCTGACCAGGGCTCTTGCAGGCATGCCTGGAGTATGGACCGGATCTTTAGAGTGATAGGATGATGTGAGGTTGGGAGGAGTCCCTGTTTGCTCGCTGACTGCCTGTCGTATAGAATGGAGTGGCAGCACTGCATGTGCATGGCGATGGGGCTGGGTAGGGGAGGCTCAGGACTCAACTGCTGAGGTGACACCTTGCCTGCGACTTGGCTTGCTTGAAGGAACCCCCCCATGTGACCTTGGTGGAGATGGTATCCACAAAGCCCTGAACCACAACTGCATCTCCAAGACCAAAGCTGCCGGCACCAGCCTCTGATGTGATGTCCTGTGTTAGGAGAGACGCAGAATGCCTCAGGAGATGTGGAGGTGGACAAGTCGGACCTCTGCAGTTTCTGTACCATCCTTGGCCTCCAGGGAAGGGTCCCTGCTCTCTTATGCTGCAGACATAGGCCATGAGGACGCTTCCCTGTGCTGGAGATGCACTTCCACAAGCGGGTCTTACCAGTGTCTTTCTAGCTGAGAATGAAGCTTGGAGGAGACGCATGTGTTCACTGTGGTCCTCTCACCTCTAGACCAGCCACTGACTCCCTCACAGTTGGTCTGCTGTCATTCTTGATTTTACTGTTCCTGACTCTCAGAAGGAAGTTCACCAAACTACAAAAAGAGTGCTCCAGGACAGTGAATGGGTGTTATAGACGATGACAGCGTGTCACTGGGCTTTCGTGTCTGACAGACATCTTCCAAAAGCCTAGCTCTGGCTGCCTGTTAGCCTTGTGCCTTTGGGCGAGTCATTTAACTTCTCACCTTTCACAGGCTGAAGGGGGGACCTTGAGGTCAGTG